AAAAAAAAAAAAAGAAGAAAAAACTGATGGTTACACTCTCCTGCAACCAAGACAGCTCTCTTTTGGCATTCCGCTTCTTTTGTAAATGAATCAACCTTGCATATGATTGTACTGATTATGCATAAACAGTACACTGATATTTTCAATCATCACACAACATCAAAGAATGACATGTTGAATACCATCACATGATGTTTCTATTGTTTTTTTTTATCATTATTTTCAAAGCAATACAATATACCTATGTAATAGTTAGTCAACCTAGTTGTAAAGATTTTCTTGGCTGTTTAAAGAGAAAGAGAGAGCGGCATTGATTTAGGAGTGTAAAGTCACATATGCAAAATAGGTTCTTTTTTTTTGGCTTTTCTTTTTTTTTTAAAAAAAAAAAACTATTCAATATGAAGAAGAAAGAGAAAGTAAAGTTTTTAAAGACTTGCGAGAATAATTTTAACACACATGTAGGTTCTACTTATGGGGAAGAGTGGTTCAGGAAAGACGTCTATGCGGTCTATTATTTTCAGTAACTATATAGCTCGAGACACTCGAAGATTAGGCGCAACAAGTAAATGAATACATTATAAAAGAGTTTCTTTTTTTTTTAAGACATAATCTATAGTCGATGTTGAACATTCCAATGTCAAATTCCTTGGTAATTTAGTATTAAACCTTTGGGACTGTGGAGGGTAAACAACAACAACAAAAGAGAGAAAGGTTGACTTTAATATTTTGTTAGACAAGAAGCCTTTATGGAAAATTATTTTGCTTCACAAAGAGACAGAATATTCAAAAATGTAGAAGTGCTTATATATGTATTTGACGTTGAGAGCAGAGATTGGGAAAAGGATCTTCACTATTATCAGTCATGCTTAGAAGCTATTCTTGCCAACTCAAAAGAAGCACGTATATTCTGTTTAATACACAAAATGGATCTTGTGCCAGAACATCAAAGAGATCAAGTAATGCTCTATTACTTGAGAAACAATATAACTCATCCCTATTGTATAGATATTTGAACAACGAGTGACAGAGCTTCAAAAGAGATCAGAGCCATTAAGTATTCAGGCCTTTCGTACGTCTATTTGGGACGAAACCCTTTATGCCGTAAAACAGTTAAACAAAAAAAAAAGCAACATCCAACTGATTATTATTGTCATAGGCATGGTCCAAGATTGTGCACTGTTTGATTCCTAATATCAGAATACTTGAATCTCATTTGAACAACTTTTGTCGTATATGTGATGCAGATGAAGTTGTGTTATTTGAGAGAACAACGTTTCTAGTGATTGCAACAGCAGCAACGGTCATTCATCAAGATCATCATAGATTTGAAAAAATAAGTAATATCATCAAACAGTTCAACCTAGGCTGTAGTCGATCACAAACCAGGTTTAAAAGTATGGAAATTAGAGGAAGTAGTTTTACTGCGTTTATCGATGTATTGACAAATAATACTTATGTGATGATTGTCATGTCTGATCCCAATATACGTAAGTAAAAGGAGAATAGTCTTTATATCCATGTACTCATATCAATGATAGAATCAGCAGCTACGTTATTAAACATTGCAGCAGCAAAAAAGCATTTTGAAAAGATTGAAGCAACAAAATAAAAAGTACTATTATTATTATTTGTTATTTTTTCCCTTTTTATTTCAACCAAATAAGTAAATACGTCCTCTTTTTTTTTTTCTTATATTTACATGTTGCGCCAAAGACTTGTTTTGTTTCATACTAGACGTCATACATCGACGTATAAACAGGCTATAGTGCTAGCAAATAATCAAATACAGCATCACTTTGATACTTATAATACAGTGCTGCACTTGGAAAAACAAGGATTGACTAGGCCACAAGCAGTGGCCTTGATGAAAGGTATAAAATTTAAACTTCGAGAAAGGTAAAAAAAAAAGACTTTAGCAATATGAAATACTTACAGTGTCTTTTAGTGTAGCGTTAACAGAGCAAAGTCTTTTACCTCAGTCTACTTTTGATAACGTAGGTCTCCCTTTTTTTATTATTACTCTCTTTACTTATCCCCAAAAAGGATTTGTATTTAATAAAAGCGGGATTGTCTGAGTTAAAGACAGAAATACAGATGATGAAGCAACAGGATGTACAAGCATTAAGGACCGACAGCGACCTTTTAAAGCGTGAGGTGGAGACATTAGCACAGAGACTGAATGAAAATGTTGAGCTTATGAAGAACGATATTACGTTGGAATTGAATAACAAGAAGAATGAAGTAAGAATGGAGCAACAAGAAATTGATATCAAGATTCAAGAGTTGAATAACAAACTGACTATAAAACTAAGTGAAGTCAAGATGGGTTTGGAATCTGTACGGTTAGAGACTATCTGGAAGGGACTTGGTAAGAAATAATGTATTATTAAGCTCTATATAATTCATTATTGTTTTAAGCTGGCGTGGGTGCTGCTGGTTTAACCATAGGTGCACTAGCTTATCTATTATCCAACTATACGCTCAAGAGAGAGCAAGAGGCAAGAGAAAGGAAATTGAAAAAGAAAAAACAAATGCAAGAAGAAGCACGCAATGCTGGCTTTATAGACATGGAAGTAGTATATTCTGCATGAAAACATTATGAAAACTCCGCCTAATCTTACAAAATCATTTCCCCTTTTCCTGATCCCCTTTCTTTTTCTTCTTTTTTTTTTTTTCTTTGCTGTTTTTTTCATTACCTTATGTTTCCTCATAGTCATTCCTCTCCTGTCAATTTGCACTCTAATAAATCAGATGTTGAAGCAACTGCTCTATGTCTTGCCTTAACCGAACAAAATTTGACATTGTTTAATCAACAAGTAATTCTGCATCCTTGTTTCTTTTTAATTAAAGCATCTTACCTTTTGTTATCTCGTAGTTTCCTCCTTATAAAGAGTTTAAAAAAGAGAATACATTACTGTTTGTAAAGGAACAGCAGCCCATCATAGAACAAGAGAGATTATTGAAGGAACAACAAAGGATAGCATCCTCTTTCTCCATTCAGAGCGATCCAACCATACTCGAATCGGAAAAAGTTATAGATACCGAAAAGCATCAGACAAAAGCCAAGCGTTTATCTAAATTCAGTTGGCCTTTTAGACCACATAAATTATCCCAAAACAAGGTGAAAAGGCAGCATAGATGGATTTGTATTCCCTTTGACAGACTATCACCACTACTACCAACAGCAAAACAAGATGATTTTGCTACTTTTGCATATCCTTTATCTTCCACACAAGCTGCAATATGAGAAAAGCATACACATTTATACACAAACACAATCTTTTGTCTAATGGTTTTTTATTACACAATAAAAAGAAAAATGTTTCTTTTATAATACAATCACTCTTCCTTCATCACTGCTCTTCTGGGCTAATTCAATAATACGAATACAATTGGCGCCATCTTCAGGCTTAACAGCCAATAGACTGGGATCAGATTTCAAGATGGACTCACCCACGTTGTTATAGTAAGCCAAATAATCACCCTTTTCCGTGTCAACCTTGCCGACAATATGAACACCGCCAACATCGGCATTGATATAACCGTAGCGATCACTAGATTCAATACCATATTCTGTATCTGAAGGGACTAGACCAGCCTTAAGTTGATCTTCTTGAACATCCAAGTATTCCTTTCTGAATCCACCGTTCATGCCGCGAAGATTGAATCGTAAAACGGGTGTATGACGAGCGAGCATGCTTGAACGAAGAATAGCCTTGAAAGAGTTTTCATATCCCAAGATGATGGTGAAATCATCAGCAACATCGGTTTCCTTTAACTGTCTTTGATTGCTGACGGTGGCATAAACAGTCTTTGGCATACCAAATAATGAAAGGGCTTGATCAATTAAATGTGCACCCAAATCGTAGAGCATGCCTGAACCAGGAGCATCGGATTGCTCTCTCCAGCCAGCCTTGACAAAATTACGGAAACGATCAAAGTGGGATTCAAATTCAACGAGACGGCCGAGATGACCAGCACTGATCAACTTCTTGACGGTCAAGAAGTCACCATCCCATCGACGGTTCTGGTAGACACTACAGATAAGCCCTGTCTCTTTAGCCACTCGACAAAGCTCCTCTGCTTCTTGAGATGTAATCGTAAATGGCTTTTCAACAACCACTACAAAAAAAGTGTTATTTCATGACATCATGTAGCACATCTTTGACCTACCATGTTTTCCGCTCTTGAGGGCCTGCAGAGCTAATGGATAATGAGAACCATTGGGTGTAGTGATGACAACAAGATCAACCTCGGAAGATGCAAATAAGTCATCGGTATTTTTGAACACGCTGATCCAAGGATACACATCTTTTGACTTATCACTCTTTCTTTCAACCACTGCAGCCAAGTGCAGGTAAGGTGAAGAAACGATCAGAGGACAATGAAAAACGCGAGCAGACATACCTTTTCATGCATTGTTAGTCCTGTACTACACTAAACATGCATTCTTACCAAAGCCTACAACGCCAACATTGATCTTCTTTTGAGTGTTATCAGTCATTATGTAATTGTGTGTTTATAGAAAATTAAAGAAAAAAAAAAAAAAAACTCTTTTATATATACTCTGCTTATAAATATTATCCATACGATGTCACACACCGTATAAGGAAATGAATAAACGGAGATTCTCCCGTCAGTCCCGCGCTTTCCCTTGCTTTAGGGTATAATCGGAATTTGAACTATAGGATGCTAAAAGACGTTTCAAAACCGTGTATTGTTCAAATCAAACGGAAGAATTGAACAATAAAAAGGTTCTAGAGTGAATATAAGCATGAGTAGCTTATCACTATAAAAATAAAAATAAAAAAAGAGAAAATGCGGGGGTCTTGTTTAGATTGTGCGTGCTTCTTATTGAATGCCAGCAACAAGTGTCAACCAAGCTTTGTCAGCGTTCTCTTCCTGCTGCGGCACATCAAGAAATCTCCCGTAGATCAATAATGAGGGGTGTATCCATGTCCCTGGATTAGTAAGCCAGAGATAAAGCAATTATGTGGATTAGGTGGAAAAATAATTAAAAAAACGGGTCTAGCGTCATACCCTGTAGATCTTTGCATCAGAGAATTCATTAAAACAGTTCATTTAAAACGATCATAGTTTTATATAGATTTTGAATTGTGTAAATCTCGATAATAAATGTATATGGATGAATGGGATATGGATGAATTAACGCTTCTTTGGGGTACGAGGCTTGATCTCTTCGTCTCTTACGGCATGCAAATAGATCTTTGGAGTGAGTGTAGGAAGGGCTTGCTTGTAACCCTAAGTTGGTGTGTTAGTACTGTTTTTTCAAGATTCTTTACACTCTACCTTTGACCAATCATAGGAAACAGCGTATGCAAAGATACTACCATTACGGTTGAACGCCGTGCTTGTTATTTGACCATTGACTTTAGGGAATGGTTTCAAACGCTGCTTAGAGTCTTTATCCCAGAAACTGAATGTTCCATCAGCACCAGCAGTGGAAAAAGTACCGTGAATAGGATGAAAATTGATATCGTGTACTGCATATATATTCTTGGAATCATCTCGATGGCATTTGAATGAAAAGTTCTTGCTATATGAAACATAAGTTACCGGGCCCTTACATATTTAAAAGTACTTACGAAGCTTCCTTTTCGTCAACGTATTGAATACCAACTCTTCCCTCAATCGAGCCAATTGCGAAACCTTTACTGTCAGCAAAGCAGGAAACAACACGAGTTTGCCATTTTAATGGTGAGGTTATTTGCTATGATCACTGTTAATAAACCACTTTTTTTTTGTTAAACTAGTCTTACTTTGAAAATAACAGTAGGATTATTCAGATCAAATAAACAAACATGCTTTTCTGCGGTTGCTGCAACCATTAATGGCCCTCTAGCGTCCATACTGTATAAGCGTTCGGGAAGCTGAACGGTTCCGATAGGTGTAGGTGAACGCAAGTCCCAGTATCTGATCGTCTTATCCCAACTACCTGTTGCAAGTACATTGCCTTGATCTAAAAATTTCACGGATTTGATGGTATCGTCATGCTGTGCCACTTGTGTTGACTGACCGGTCGTAATATCAAACATTCTTCCTGCTTTGTCTGCTCCACCAGATACTACTTTTGTACCGTCCTGAACAAAAAAAAAGGATTAAGATGCGAATAGACTGGACATGAGCTTTCAGATATTTACTTTACTCCATGCAACGCATAATGCAGGCCCTTCATGTGCATAAGAAGTCTTGGGAACTGTATTTCCTGATGCTTGAACTTCATAAATACGAACCTACGAGTTTTGTATGAATAAGAAAGAATATCGAGTGTAGAGTTTAAATTACTTGATTATCCCATGAAGAAACAGCTAAATAATCAGCTTGTGTAGAAAAATCTATTCCAGAGATGCCGTCAGCTGGAGGATTGGCAACCTAAAAGGAGTATAAGTAACATGCTTTATTGAAGTTGTTTGTAATTACCTCAAAATCTTTATTGTCCATCATTGTTAAATACGCGCTTGAAAAAAGAAAAAAAAATGAAAGCAACAAAAAAGACAACCAGGCAAAAATTTTATAAATCAAAACAAGTCCGCAGGAAAACTGTTGAGCCTTGGAATGAAGAAGAGGATTTGTGAGCTTGCTGAATACATCTCTGAGATATTGAGCGATGTTTAATCAATTAATATATATCAAGCATTGTGTATGGATGCTTATTGGTCATATAAAAAGTAGACTAGGCAGCAGGGGTAGTTCATCTCGCTTATTGTTAAATTATCTTCCCTTTCAAATCGTACTTTCTACTACTACTATAAGCACCAGAAATTATACAAATAGATGATGCTTTATTAATAGGCATTAGAGCTGTCCCTCTTTATGTCACATTATTGAGTTAGGCACATTACAGCATACATGATTTTTTAATTTGGATTGAGGTAGGTTTCACCAGGCAGATCCAGTCTTAAGTATTGAGTGAGCTTATTAAAAAGACTCATCGCACCATAAGAAAAGTAAAGTCATCGCTTTGGATGGTAATTCCTTTGTAAATCCATCACTCCAAAGATTCCTCTTCTCGAGTTGGTTGCTTTGAGAACGCTCATTCTACTCTGGTGGCTGCTTCATACTTTTATTCTATGTATAGACTGAATGAATAAGGTGTAAACAACGACTTCAAGGGCATCCATTTGTTTATTTATGGAAAGGAAGGAGTAACACACTTTTTGTACCGCTATGAGGGATCTTTTATATCTTTTTGGCTCAATAAATAGGATTAGATATACTATTACACTTAACAAAGGTGACCTTACTAAGATATATAAAAGCCTGCTTTTCCAGGAGAATAACGTTGCTGTCACTTGAGATCAGGTTCGATTTGTGGGGTGTTCTTTTAATGCTATACAACAATTGCTTTTATTGATTTGAGTACTTGTTAAAAAAAAGTGTTTACGATAATGTGCTTTCTAGGCTTTACTGATACTGCTTTAAACAACCTTTTTTACATATGGGATGAACATGTATGGTATATCGGAACTGATTAATCGCACTTAAACAAAATAATAAACAGAAATAAACAAAACTCCTTGAAGTATTTTCCCTCTGTAGTATCCACGCTACTATTCAGTGCTTAGATACAATATCTAGAGTTGAACCTAATGTTACTACAAGGTCTGATACATCTTAATCAAATATAGTCAACTCAGTTTAAATACTTCAGCTTCTTAATATAAAGTTATAGATTGTGGTATCATCTCTTTTCTCTTTACTTGATTCTGAATAAAGATACAGTCAGGTTGGTGGATATTGACAGTTACAAAAAAAGTAATTGGCAATCACAGAAAAATGAAATAAAAATACAATTGTCGAGAGACGAGATTTACTTTGTCGGTTAGTGCTAAACAAATTGTCATTCAAATACCAAATATAAAAAATAATAATACTAGGTTTAATCCATTGCACTTAATCATACGGTGGTTAACTGAATTACTACGTAGCGCATTGCTTTTTGCAGTGTTTTTGAGGAGTTGAAATTTAAAATAGCAAATGTTTTATTCTAGACAGCCAATATCACAAACAATGATGC